AAAAAAAACAAAAAAAAAACGGATAAAGCAAAGACATTCAAATAAACAAAACAAACACACACAAAAATAAAAATAAATAAATAAATAAGAAGCATGAACTTCTTTTTTTTTCTTTTTCTTTTTCTTCTTTCTATTCTTATCTACTTATTATTTCTTTCCATATCTCTCCTCTCTTCTTCATCTTCTTCTTCAAGGTCACAACTTATCATGTATGGCAATTTTCGTCATTTCCAGTGTACGAATAAGAGACGTTAATGCGGCGGCGGCGGCGGATGTACGCACACGTCCACTGTGAGTATTAAACATTTCTTCCTCATCTACACAGTGTTGTTGTTGTTGATGAGATTGATGAGATTGTTGTTGAGGGAATAGTTCCTCTGTATCATTGAGAATATCACTATCCCGCACAGCTGTGAGGTGTTCAATAAATATCTCTGTTAAACCCAAAAAAGAACGTAAACGTCTTTGCAAGACATCCCGCACATGGCGGTGTCGTTCTTCTTTACGTTTTATCATTTCCGCCTGTTGTTGTTGTTGTTTAGATTGTAATTGTTGAGATTTCTCTCTCTTCTGCTGTTTAGTCACAACTTCTTTACTGCTGCTTCCCCCACTACTGCGCATCTCGGATTGTACCACTCCTGTCTTCTTACTAGTCTTCTTCTTATTACTAGTAATACTGTTATTAATATTAATAATATTCTTACTATTCCCTTTCTCTTCTTCTTGTTTAGTGTTCGCTTTACTCTTCGTCTTTGTTGTTGTTGTATTTTTCTTCTTTTTCGTCTTCTTCTTATCATCATTATCATCATCATCATCATCATCATCATCATCATCTATTATGATATGTTCACTGGTACGTTTTCTGGATGCGGTTCCTGTTGAGATCCTCACACTGGATGTTTCTCTCTCACTTCTCTCTGCTGCCAACATATATTGCTCCACCTCCTCTAATTGCCGAACCATTCCATACACTTGTTGCCGTGCGCGTGCAAACGCCGGTGTTAACATCGCCGCAAATCGACAATGCTCCAAAAACACCGCATGATCCCGCGAGAAGTTCTCCAATTGTTGATATCCATATAAAACACCAGACTCAAAGCGAAGACTCTCACGATATGCACGGGCGTAACCCGCAATAAGAAACCACATGTGTTGAGCCACAGCCCCAAATACCGCACGAGTGACATTACAGAAGAAAAAAGCCTCCGACACACCAGACTTAATGCCAATAAACCAAACACGTGTTACTAATTGCATAACACTTGTCCAGAAAAGTAAAGTACTGAAGAGATCTCCATAAATGGCAATGGCATTTTTAGGGAGTAGCCAGAAATCTTCACGTGGAGTATTATGTACAATGGTGAGTTGAGATATAAAGTCAAATGGATTATCTGGTAATGATAATGTAAATGCATGCTGTTTCTTTTTCGTTCCATGTTCTTCTTCTTCTTCTTCTTCTTCTTCTTCTTCTTGATTTTGTTGTTTTCTCTTTATATTCCAATATTCCCTCAGTTCCTCCTCTTCATTCTCATCATCTCCCGCTATTCCCACTCCACACATGGAAGGTGAACGTTTTCTTCTTCGTCTAAATGCCGTATCGCTAAACAAAAAACCACTACTATTAACACCAACTCCCACACTAATATTACTTTGCATTTCATCCCCCATTAAATAAACACCATCCCGCATACTTTCCTCATTTTCACTATCACCATCAGGAAGTGAAAGAGCTAGTTGAATATGCATAAGTGTATCTCCTCCATATAGTACAGATGACTCCCACTCCTCTACAAATGCCCTATTAAGTATCATAAAGGTAGAAGAAGCACTAAATGTATTTTCTTCCATAGACTCTTTTGTTAATCTTTCCCATAGTCCAGTGAGTCTAGCAGCCACAGAACCTCTTTGCATAAGACAAACATCTAATAACTGTTGCATTAATCGATAAAGAGTTCCATAAGGACCTAACAACATTACCTGAAGTGCCTTATGTGTGAGATAACTTGCTGTATAATGTCCTAACCTGAGATAATAACTTGAACAGTGTAGAAGTGTCTTTATCTGTTGATCTGTCATATTTATCGTAACAGCTGGTGTCTTTCCAGATGTGATTGAATTATCTTTATAAGACTTGAGTACTTCTTCATCTGTAGTTGGATCTGTCCACCATACATTACTGATAATCTTATTGGTATTCTTCTTATCCTTATTATGATTATTCTTATTATTATGATTACTCTTTTTGTCATCATCATCATCATCATCATCATCATCAATAACCTCCACAGCTTCACCCATACTATAAAGAGCTTCTCTTGCTAAAGCAATACACCTTTTCTGATAAGCCTCACTTGAGACATTAGAACCCCGTACAGATGCCTCTTGTATATCCATCTTTGCTAATACAGCTTCCATCTCATTCACATCACTCACATGAGGTCCTGCTCGTTTCATTAAATACTCTTCATCATTAATATCTGCTACTACATACATTTCTGGTGTATGTTTAAATTCACATGGCACTTCAACAGGCGTATTAACATCTTTACAAGAAGAGTTCAATTGTAAAGAAGAATTCAGCGTCCTACTCATATTGGCACGACGATATTGTTGTTGTTGATGTTGTTGATGTTGTTGATATTGTGAAATGAAACGAGATCGTGAGCTTAAAGGTGTCGTATTCGGTACATCTTCATTATCTTCATATAAACCTTCACTCATAATACCAATACGGGGTAGCGTAAACTTGGCACGGCCTACAACCGTATTTTTCTCTGTACATGGTGTGATGGATGGTAACTGTTTAAGTGGAATAACAAACTTACCAATAGGTGTTCTTCGTCCATCATCTATTTCATTCTCAACTTTTTCTTTTTCTTCTTCTTCATTATCTCCTTTATGAGAATCTTGTTTTATCTCTGTTGAAGGTTTTAATGTATGGAGGTATAATTCCTGCAAATCATCCACACATCTAGATATTGCAGCTGCTCTTTCAAGATTAAGAGAAAGACGACGTGCTTTCCATTGTTGTAATTGTCGTTGGGCTTTTTTTCGAAGAACATGTCGTTCATATTCTAATCTAAGTGCTGTACGTGTTTTTAACTTTGCCGCTTCCTCTTCATTTGTAACTTGAGCCACTTGAGCCAATTCCTCTGATATCGCCTCATGCCAGGCGGTGGTGGCTCTTGATGCCCGTGAAAATGTTGTCGATCCATATTTTGTTTTTCCTCCTAATGCCGATAACGTTACGGTTGGTGTTACCGCGACAGTTGTAGAGAGTGGAGAAGCTGCAGTTGTTGTTGTTGTTGTTGTTGTTGTTACTATGATAATTTCTCCGCTTTCTCCAGTGGGAGTGTTATTCTTTCGCATACTATCTTCTCCATCCTCTAATGATCCCATCGTGTCTGGTGCTAAAGAAAGTGAAAGTGGATCACATGCCTGGTGGACACCACCCTGTTCTAACATCATGACGGTTGTTAATGTTGTTTCTCTCTTCTTATTCTTTTCTTCTTCTTGTTCTTGTTGTTCATCATCATTATCATTATCATTATCATCTTCTTGTTGTTCTTCTTCTTCTTCTTCTCCTGCGGATAACAAGAGACGATTACAGGCTCCGTAAAAGTCCCGCCAATATGAGAGTGTACCCTCCTCCTGTAGTAAATCCACTTCTGGTGATTGAGGAAACCCCAACAACGATAATGAAGATGAAGATGATTTAGATAGTGGAAGTGTGTGAGATTCAAGTAAAGCATTCATAAAGTCTGAGAGAAGCCAATTAATTTCCATCGCATCATCCATCTGATCATGTAATGCCGCTGCAGCGTCCACATCTTCTGTTTCGTTCTTTAATCGTAATTGATCTTTCTTCGCACAGAAGGTAACATGTCGGGCGGCCGCACGGAGAACACGAAGACTTACACCCGCGTGAAGAATATTCTCCGCGGCTTCTAAAGAAATAAAACTTGGAAGACGTTGAGGAGAAGTCTCTACAAGAAATCCACAATCTGTTGTACCGTATGAAGGCATAATAAAAAATTCATCATATGGATCTTGTAATTCACCACGGCGAAGCCAAACACACATCATATGATGTAATGGATTAAGAACAGCAAGAAATAATTCCCCAATAACATCTAATCTTTCTCCTTTATCATATATAAGGGATGTATGATTTACAATTCTCTGTGTATATCGTGTATATAATGAGGAAAGAAGAGTAGCAGAGGATAACTCACTTAATACTGTAGATGGTGTCCATCCCATTTCTGCATTCACAAGAAATACATCACTTAACGCCATAATATCTTCAGCAATACATCGTAAATGTTGTTGGGCTTCTAAAAGTTCACGAAAAGTGACACAATGTGGACCACCTGGTCTATTAGAAAGATCCGATACACGTCTTAATAGTAATAAGAGTACTCGACGTAATGCCTCAATTGCACTTTTTCCATATTGCCCAAGAGAGGCACGCCATTCTGCCCGTTCAGATACTTCACATAAATATTGTAATCGTAAAAAGAGAGTTCCACTCTGACAACTCCATTCTAACATGGTCATTACACCTCTTGTGTAATGATGACTATCTTGATGTGTTTCTTCTGATTTTTCTCTTTCTCGTAAAGCCACAGGAATGCCATTTTTATTACTATGTTTTCCTTTATTTGTTTTTGGTTTGCTGCCGTTTGCCACCAGAAACTCTGGGCTTACGATAATACCTATAGGTTGCATACCAGAAAATAGATTATATCCATCTGCACGTCGAAAACCATACGGTAATCTATTTGGGGATGAGAGTGAATTCAACGAAAAAGAACCACTCTCATTATTTTCATACTCTAAACGTAATAAGAGATATGGATCTTGTTGCCCAACAATACCACGATGAAGGGCTACAAAAAGAAGTGAACAAAACGGTAAACCAGATGGATATTCCTCTTTAAATATAGAGAAAATAGGACGTGAGGATGTGGCTTTTGTTGTTGTTGTTGTTGTTCCTGTTGTTGTTCTTGATGATGATAATACTATAGACTTTTCCTCCTCCTCCTCCTCTTCTTCTTCTTTTTCACTTTCTTTCTTTTTTAGAGGACTAGCTTCAACACGCTTTCTAGAAAAGAGATGTCGCACTTCCATACTTTCCTGTGCAGACCAGTAGGAACAAATACCACCACCAATGGAATACACACTTGAGGAATTTGTACTCTGCGGCCATGCTGCCCCTCTAACACTATGACTATCAATACTATTATTATAATTATAATTATTAGTATTAGTATTAGTAGTATTAGTGAGAGCGGCGGCTGTATCATTATTATTATTATTATCCATATAATAAGCTAATAGAGATGGAATATGATAAGATGTACGTACCCCAAATGAGAAACCATTATATCCAGGCGCATCAGATGTAAGAGCGGCATCAATTACAGGATCGGGATCACATGACCATCGCATTGTCCGTTGTAATGCCGGTGAACGTTCTATTATTGCCGTAATAGATGGTGATAACCAACAACGTGGAATAATAGGCGGTTTCTGCCACGTTGGAGCCGCGGCAATACTTGTGCGAAGTATAATATACAACATGAGTTCCATCTCAGTCATTTCAACTGCATCTTCATTTAATTTCTCTACATTCAATGCTTGTGTATGATTCTCTATGTTGATAATATCCGGAGCCACAGCAGTGCATAGAAGTTCTAACATCGCGGCATGTGTTTCTGTCACTTGCCGTATATTCTCTTTAGCGTTGAGAAACATCTCCCGCATTTCTTGACGTCTGGTATTATGTGAGGAGGAAACTTTAATAGTGGGATCAAAAAAGGCATTAATAACATCACGTCTTCTTTTTCTACGTAATTTTGTAGGATTCTGAAAACGTCCTGTTGTTGTCGTAATATTAGTATTAGTATTACTAGTATTAGTAGTCCCACCAGCAGCAGCAGTAAAGCCTGTGAATAAATTCGCCTCTGCAGATAATCCCGTATGATCTCCACGAGAATAACTGTGAGATTTATGATATGTTAATGAGTTTGATAACTCCAACAACAACTCCACTAATGAGAGTGTACAGTTGCCATCCCCACTATTAATACCACTCCTACTACAGCCACATCTATGAATGGCTGTTCCTGCAGATGATGCCATCGTTGTTGGTATTGGGCCTTATTGTTATTGTTATTGTTTTTATTATTATTATTATTAATAGTATGTTTATTATCCCCAACAAACAAACACAGACACACACAGAAGAAAGAAAGAAGAAAAAAAAAAGCGAAAAACAAAACAATAAATAAGTAAATAAAAATAAATAAAAAAAAAAAAGAAAGACTATTCTGTAAAAGGTGGCTTACCGTGAGTATAGATAAACAAAACACCTATAGAAAGTAAAGCAAAAAGGAAAAGAAAAAAGGAAAAAAAAAAAGCAAAGGAAAAAAAAAAGGAAAAGAGATAACATAATAAAGAAACTAGTAAACAAAAATAATAATATCCTACACTTATATACCTGTAAATAAAGGTAATGGTATTCTCCTTTTTTTTTTTTTTTTTTACTTTTCCTTCTTTTTTTTTTTTCTTCTTTCTTGCAGAGGAATATTATTGTTGTTCTTGTATTGGTGATGGTGGTTTCCTCATCTTCTTTTTTTTTCTTTTTCTTTTTTTTCTTTTTCTTTGTTTTCTTCATCATTGAATATATAGAAGAAGATTCTACACATTACGGGTGTGTAGAAAGCAAGGTAAGAAACTCTTCACTGTTTAATACATTTGTTCCGCCAATTGCGGCCCGTACACCACCAGAGGCGAGATTGTTAGCCGCTGATCCCGTGTACGCTGTGCCTGTGTTAATAGCATTCACTAACGCCGCCTCTTCATATGTAAAACCTCCACACATAAACGTTGTCACTTCTTTTGGTTTATAATTAGAAGAGGATGATGATGATGGAGATGATGACATTTGTGTTGAATTAGCAGTATTTGTATGGAGTGCAGAAGAAGAAGAAGGCGGGGGAGTTAAATACGGGTATTGATCTAATGGGAGTTTACCACTAAAAAGTTGTAAAAGGATTCGTTTTAAAACAGGTTCATGTTGGGTATATATATTCCCTACATCCACAAAGGTTTTTACAATAGATGCCATTACTCCTGTAGCGCCAAAAAGTTCATCCGTAGATTTATCACTACGGTATTGTTGAAGTTTACGTAAACAATTCACATAATGTGGACCAAGTTTTTCTAATATTGATACTACACGAGAAGTTTGATTCGCTTTTTCATACCGTAAGTGATAAATAAGACAAAGACGAAAAAGATCTCTCGTCTCCACAACATATTCACCACTATTATTATTATTATTACTATTATTACTAATACTACTACTAGTAAGACCTCTATTGTATTTTTCCACAAATCCCTGTAATCGATTCCAGTGATCACTTGCATTAGGGGTAGCAACCATATCTTGTTCCAATAATGAGATATCTAGTAATCCACGTTTTTTAATAATAGATGAGAGGTATGAAACCACTGTGGCATGTTTGGTTACAGATCCAGTTAAAGTTTTTGTTTGTGGAAGTCTCTGCATAAAATCTTTAATTTCATCCATAGTTGCTGTAGAACGATCAATATTTAGTGTAGATTTACATTTATCCACATATGCCTTAACATTATTACATAGTTCTCCCCAATTTGCAAACATATTCGCCGCAAAAAAGTCATCATCCTGTTGAGAAAACACATATTCCTTTTCTTCTGATACTCCTTCAGGCAATTGTAGACGATTATGATGTAATCCAATATGTTCATGCAGCATTGCCTGATATATCCATGGTGTTAACAATGGCGTTAAGGTATCACTACTGCGATCCAGAATAAGCAGCACACTATCTCGACTCTTATAATCATACAACTCGGCGTTTCTCGATAAAATCTCTGCAAGTTCCGTCGCCACTCGCCGGGCAAACGCACTGTTCTGATCAAATCGCACCAGCGGTTTGCGCCGCAGGGCCACAAAAGTCGCCGCGACGCCCTCCGCCACCCGCTGCACCGCCACGGCGCTGAGAAACGCCGGCAGCAAAACACACGCGGGGGCCGCCGGCACAAACGCATCGCCGTTCACCGCCGTGAAGTCGCAGAAGACTTCCCCCACGCGGTTGACAAGACTCTCCACATCCGCACGGGCAAGGCGATCGAGGAACTCCGCCCCCGCCGCCGTGCTGAAGTGAATGGCGTAACTTTCATACTTGGGAGTGCGGAGTTCTTGACAGGCCGCTTCCACACTGGATAACTGTGGGCGAATGAAGATAATACAGCGCATGTTTTTCATGCACTTCCGTTGATGATGATCATCAATGCGAGATACGAGAAATACACCCCTTTTGAGTAGCATTGTTTGTGAACATGCCATGGAAATGATGTTAAGAGTGGCCTCATCTACGAGGAGAACCTTCATTGTATTGTCAGCTGGAAGAATGTGTTCTACATACTCAGAGACAATGTGAAAGAAGTTTGGTGGCCCATTCGACATGATGTTGTGGTTTCGATTCTATTCCTTCAGCACTCCAGCTATTACGAATACTTCTCGGAAATAATAATAAATAATAATAAATAAATAAATAACTTTGGTCTCCCTTCTTTTCGCCTTTCAGTGTCTTCTAACTGCGTGCGCTAGTCGAACACTGACTTTGAGACGACCAGAAATAAATACGGTACATGTATATAATAAACACATACACACACAAAGAGTGAGGGATAATGGCAAAAAAAAAAAAGAAATAAAAAAAAAAGAAAAGAGGCAGTATTTTTAATGGAGTTTCAGTACAATGAATGTATAGCAAATATATAAATATATATATATACACTAACAAAGACCCAGAGAAGAGAAAATAATAATAATAAATATATAAGAAAAAAAACAAATAAAACTAGGCAAATAAACTTCTCAATGATTACAAAACCACTATCTATAGTTCTATTATTATTAATCTATGGGAATGACACATGACTTTTCTTCTTTTCCTTCTCTCTTCTTCTTCTTCTTCTTTTCACCATACAAGCAGTAAAAAGAAAAAGAATAAGCAAACAAGGAAAGAAAGGAAGAAAGAAAAAAAGAAAAACAGTGTCCATAATTTCTATTACTCTGTATCCAATACAGCTTCGCACAGATCGCTGAGGGAAATAAGTGGTGTGAATAAACTGTGCACATCAGCTTTCGAATATCTGTTATCACGACACCTCTGTGGGGATCTCTTACCCTCCATAGAGAGATCCATTCGTGAATTAGTGGCTGCATCCTGCAAAGACCCTCCACTGTTTTCACAGTCTCCACTTACAACAGCAACAGCAGCAGCACTAGTAATAGTAGAGTTTAAATCCATACTCACATCTTTTAACGGCTGCTGCGGTAGTGGATGTAACTGCTGTGAGATAATACAGTTATGCAGCCACTCCACCGATACACATGGAATGGCAGACTCCATCGCCCGTCTCCATATTTCACGCATTTCACTTTCCGTAGAAACCGCAGCGGCCGTTTCTCTTGCGATACCTTCACCACAGTGAGAAGATGTATCTCCATAAACAAGAATGTTGGTTGTGGCTGTTAACTGTGGTGAATATGTTCCACCAAAGAACTGCATCACCGCAATCACATTCTTCTCCAGTGATGTTGGCAGCCACACCGTCGTAAAGTGAAAAGATGCAAAGAGTTCGGGATCATACACCGCATGTGGATATTTCACCGGCACCATATGACCCGCCGCAACACTCGCACGAATCCAACTGCTACGCACAATTGGAATACGCAATCCACGCAGTTTCTCTTCATCAGAAAGAGTTCCTCCTATTTCATTTAAAGAAGCGGCCGCAACGAGACCAAACGTTACAGTAGCCTCAAGCCTTGATACCACTCGACCACCACAAGCTAACACAAGTGCTTGAACATCTTTGGGCACATTCGATGCCGCAAGAAAAACATGACCTCTAAACATCTTTCACAGCACCCTGCACTGGAAAACGCCTCCCTTCCTCACTTTTCTTGCCGCCTTATAGATGTCGGTATTCTATGTGGCCCGTTCCTTTCCCCTTTCGACACCACCCCGTACAGTCTAACAATGTGTGTGTAAGAGAAGCAAAAAAAAAGAAGAAATCAAGCAAAAAAAAAGAAATTACGAAAAGCAAAAAAAAAAAAAAAAA